AGCGTCCAGGCGACTCACCCGGGGCGGGGCGGGGCAGGGCCCAGGAACCCCGAAGACCCAATGGGGGGCCCCCAGAGGGGGCAGAGGGAGGCTGGCTGGGAGGCCAACGGTGACAGGGAGGGAGGACTCTGAGGCCGCGAGCAACTCTGAGAGGACCCCGAAACCTAAGCCAAGTGTCAAGGAAAAGCGGACACTTACGTTGTTTTCATCTTGCACTCGAACTTCCTTAAGAACTTTCCTGGTTCTCGGGCTGGCCATGGCGCTGTGAAAGAAGAAAACAAACTTTCCAACTTCCAAATAGGTCACTTCACAAGAAGATCAACCTTTGGTGCAAACACACTACAAAGTATGACTTCAAGAAATTCCATGAAGGTGCTTGGAAGCTGCAGGGGAACAGGGCTACTTACTGCAGGAACCTGCTCTCCACATGCTAAGAAAAGCCGAGATCCGTCTGGACGCTCCCGGGCCAACCACAGCGTGATTATTAGGGGCAATGCGCAATTACTGGAGGCCGCTCATCATGTACCATCAAGACCACACGATTTATAAAAACATCCGCCTTCTGGTGAAGTTCACAGCAAGGGGTGGTCTTCACAAAACGTGCTCAGACTGGCTGTTAAATCTCATTTCCCCTTTTCAGGGCGACACATCAGACTTGGGATGACAGTATCCGAAGCCAGGGAGCCCCACATTCTCGGCCCCCGCAGCCCCTCTACCTTCCTACCACTGCAGGGAGGCTCCTGGCCTGGGGCGGAAGTAGTGGCCCCGACTGACACGGGAAGAAGCTGGCCTCCCTGGGACCATCTGAAGGATGGAGGTGACAGACAGCATGGCCACAGCAGGGCAAGGACAGGGGCCTATGGACCAGCAGACCTGCCACCGCGCCTCAGGGGGACACTGCCGGGGAACAGCAGCCACACAGCCTGAGCTGAAGAGAAAACCCATTTACTTCTTTATAGATCTCCTAGCTTCAGCAAAGTTCAAGTTCAAGTGGTGGTCCGGTAAGTTTCAGGCGGGGGATGGGGAGGGAGCCCAGCGTGGTGTCGGCAGTAAAGTAACCCCATGGATGCCCAGCCTGAGTCTCAGGCTGGCCCTTCCCTCGTGACCAGGACCTGCAGGCTGTCCCTCCAGCTCCCCCGGCAGCGTGCGTCCTCTCAGAACACACAGGCCGCTTAAGGGACAGAGCCACACACCTGGGCTGCTGGTGGTGTCTCCAGCCTCCGACCCTGCACCCCACTGTCTGTGAGGGACTGCTCCAACCAGCTTCCCTGCCAATGCTTTAGCGTGAAAATCCCAGGAGCAGCAGTCACCTTCGGTTACTCCCAAGGGGACCCTGCCTCTCCCCACACCCAGGCCTCCTGAATCCTGAGCCCCAGGATGCCTAACGCCCATAATGCCCACTTCTGAGCCAGCTGAGGTTAGGAGACAAATGTCTGCTTTCTGTAACTGAGGGAAACAAAGCCAAGGGCTCGCCGGAGGCGCCTTTCTGCTCTGTATTTCTCTGTGCTGTGCATGACAGTCTTGAAGGCAAACACCTAAACCCACAATCCTGCCCAGCACCCAGCACCCGGCCCGACCCATCCAGGCGGGACCCTGTCCTCACGCTGAGCTCCAGTCACCCACAGGGCGAAGGCAGAAATGGGTGGCCCCTGGGAGCTCTTTCCAGAGAACTGTGCCTGCCCAGAGGCTCCCATTCTGGCCAACAGGACCCAGGCAAACAAAAGTCAGAACTGGGGTGAGCCTGCCCTGAATTTCTAACTGCGTAAAAGAAGGCAGAGAGAGTGTCTGCAAAAGTACAGCAAGGGAAATACGTGAAAAGTAAATGACTTGGCTCGGATTTAAAAGGAACTTTTTTTGGACGTGAGAATCCTTTACTTCTGTGAAATGCTAACTTTAATACATAAAAAACAAACACTTCCTAACTTTCAAAACTACAGTTTGCCTTGAAATATAATCCAAGAACTCCTGCATTAATGCCTGAAACCAAACACAGCTCTGTGCAAGTGAACGTGGCCTCAGTAAACGGTGAACCAAATAACACTTCTCAGTTTACAGGAAAAGGCCACTTGTCAGCCGGCAGAACGCTGTTCCTTAAGTTGGGACTTCCTCAATGCCTGAGATGAAAAGGGATGACTTAGGGACACCGCTTGGGGCTATTACACAGGCAACAGGCAGAAATCCTGCTCACCTTTCCCAGAAACCACCTGAGGCCCCCGAAGCACCTACACTGAAGAACAACCGTTTCTCACTTAAAACACCATGACTTCTGAACTTCTGCAGGCTACGATCCCAGAAAGGGATGCCAAAGCCAACTTAAACGCTAATTATCCCCTGGGCCATTATCACAGCCCCACCTGGCACAGAAACAGAGGATGGCGGAACCCTTAGGCCTGCACTAAATGACACAATTAACTCTCACATGGGTGGTCAGCGACGCAGCTGTTGAACAGGGCAGACGAGCAGCACAGTTCTACCTAAACGCACGGGCACTGGCAGAGAATTCCAAAGTCCCTTCTTGGTTTCCTCTCCCTCCCCCAAGACGATCACCCACGGCCAAGGGTGAGGCTGCCATTTCCGATTAGACCGGCCTCTCCAACACCGAGGGGGAGGACCCTTCCCTCCTAGGAGTGGAAGCCCCTTCAAAGCTCAGACCCGGCCCGACGGGACCCTGTGTCCAAACCAGCTCCTGGTGCCGAAGGAAGGGACGGGGCAGGGCGGGCTCGCCCCACGGAGGCGGTGTTGGTGGGCAGCGGCCCGTGACAGCCTCAGAGGAAAGAAGGCTGGGGGCCGGGGGCGAGCTGCGGGGGCGGCCAGAGGAGCGGGGACGGCCGGGGGCCCGTGGACTAGCCCCGGGGTGGCCGGCGGAGGGCGGGGTGGGCGCTTCCAGGTCCTGCGGACAGCGACCTCGGGGCGGGTGGGGGTGGCCGCCGGCAGGGGCAGTGGACCAGCCCGAGGGGAGTCTGGGCCTCGGGGCCGCGGCCGCGCGCTTACCGGGCCGAGGGCTCGATCCTGCGCGCCGGGTCGGGCCGTGGCACATTAATGCCTGAAACCAAACACAGCTCTGTGCAAGTGAACGTGGCCTCAGTAAACGGTGAACCAAATAACACTTCTCAGTTTACAGGAAAAGGCCACTTGTCAGCCGGCAGAACGCTGTTCCTTAAGTTGGGACTTCCTCAATGCCTGAGATGAAAAGGGATGACTTAGGGACACCGCTTGGGGCTATTACACAGGCAACAGGCAGAAATCCTGCTCACCTTTCCCAGAAACCACCTGAGGCCCCCGAAGCACCTACACTGAAGAACAACCGTTTCTCACTTAAAACACCATGACTTCTGAACTTCTGCAGGCTACGATCCCAGAAAGGGATGCCAAAGCCAACTTAAACGCTAATTATCCCCTGGGCCATTATCACAGCCCCACCTGGCACAGAAACAGAGGATGGCGGAACCCTTAGGCCTGCACTAAATGACACAATTAACTCTCACATGGGTGGTCAGCGACGCAGCTGTTGAACAGGGCAGACGAGCAGCACAGTTCTACCTAAACGCACGGGCACTGGCAGAGAATTCCAAAGTCCCTTCTTGGTTTCCTCTCCCTCCCCCAAGACGATCACCCACGGCCAAGGGTGAGGCTGCCATTTCCGATTAGACCGGCCTCTCCAACACCGAGGGGGAGGACCCTTCCCTCCTAGGAGTGGAAGCCCCTTCAAAGCTCAGCCCCGGCCCGACGGGACCCTGTGTCCAAACCAGCTCCTGGTGCCGAAGGAAGGGACGGGGCAGGGCGGGCTCGCCCCACGGAGGCGGTGTTGGTGGGCAGCGGCCCGTGACAGCCTCAGAGGAAAGAAGGCTGGGGGCCGGGGGCGAGCTGCGGGGGCGGCCAGAGGAGCGGGGACGGCCGGGGGCCCGTGGACTAGCCCCGGGGTGGCCGGCGGAGGGCGGGGTGGGCGCTTCCAGGTCCTGCGGACAGCGGCCTCGGGGCGGGTGGGGGTGGCCGCCGGCAGGGGCAGTGGACCAGCCCGAGGGGAGTCTGGGCCTCGGGGCCGCGGCCGCGCGCTTACCGGGCCGAGGGCTCGATCCTGCGCGCCGGGTCGGGCCGTGTCAGGACGGGGGCCGGGCCGGGGTCCTGGCCGGGGTCGGCCGCGCCGCGAACCGCACCGAGGACGACCGCCGACCACCCACCCCACCGCCACCCGCTTCCGGCTACGTCGCGCCTCGCAACGCCTCACGGGAAGCCGGGGACGGGCCGGCGGGGGCGGGCCTTCCTCCCCGCCTGCTTGGCCGGAAGCGCTGCCTCACCCCGTAGCTATGGGGACGCGTCCTCCTCCGGGCTGCTGTGTCAGAGCTGCTAGTCCAGCGGGGACCGCGGTAGCCCAGGGACCGACAGCCGTGCTCACCAGCGGTTCGGCGTCAGGATCAGACGGGAAACTGATGGCCTGCTCAAATTAGAACGATTCATGGGCGTTTACTCACAAGGGGGCTGGTTAGGAGGGTATGCGCGGGTTTAGGGCACCGCAGGAATTCTGCGGGAACCCAGGGCTGGAGCAGCAGAGCTGTGACGTCAGCAGACTCCAAGGAAAAGAGGGAAGGAGGCGTTCCCGGACTCGGGAAGGGCAGTGTCCTCAGGGCCACTGCCCAAGAGGAGCTGTCATCTTTTGTTGAGGGCATGACAAGCCCAAGGTGACCTATAGAAGAAGCCACAGGAATAAATACCGGCCTCTCTGGCCTCTCACCCTCCGGTCTCCCGATTTTGCCTCCCACTGGCCGGGCCCACCGGTGCAGTCAGAGGTGGAGAAGGCTGGGGGTGGGCACGGAGGACAGCTGGAGACGTTGCAAGCAGGCTGCAAAGCAGTGTGAATAGTAGAATGCCGGATATGGGAAATATGACTGTAGAAAGAAAACTGTCCAGAGTGATGAGCTCTGGGGAGTATAACTGCAGGTGATTTTTGGTTTTGTTTTTACTCTGTGCTCTTATGTGTATTCCACATATTCTTCATTGATCTATGGAACTTTTGGAGTGATCAAGTATGAACGTTTTTACTGAGGTATCATTTACATTCAATAATTTACGTTCAATGAGTTTTGAGAAATGCATACTGCAGTGTAACCTCCACCATGATCAATTATAGAACATTTCCATCACAGGCAACCACTGTTCTTACTTTTATCCCCATTTCTTAGTTTACCTGTTCTAGAGCTTCATATAAATAGAATCATGCAATAAGTATTCTTTTGAATGGCTTCTTTCACTTAGCGTAATGGTTTCGAGGTTCATCCATGTCACAGCATGTCAACACTTCATTCCTTTTTATTGCTGAATACTATTCCGTTAAATGAATATAACTCTTTGTTTATCAATTCACATAGTGGACAGTGGAGTCATTTCTGAGTCTTGGGTATTGTGAATAAAGCTGCCCCGAAATTCACATGGGTATATTTTAACATTTCTTTTGCATAATTACCTAGAAGTTAGGTTGCTGGGTGATCGGGGAGGTGTATGTTGAACTTCATAAGAAATTGTGAAGCAATCTTCCAAAATGGCTGTACCATCTCACACCCCACCATAAGTGTGAGAGCTCCAGTGTCTGGCGTGTACGCTGGGTTATCTCATTTGCATTTCCCTCCATTGCTGGTTGAAAGCTGCCCTGGAGGATTATCTTAGCTTCCTGGCCCTTCCAGCCCACCCTGTGCCCAGCTTAGCATGAGCACCTCGTGCAGCCAGGGGAAGCCCTCGGGAAGGAGCCAGCAGGGCTTGCAGTGAGAAGCCACTGGCATCACAGAAACAAGAGGACTGAGGTGATGTGCACGGGGCACCCATAGGGTCTGCACAAGGACGATGTGAGACAGTGTAGATTTCGGCACGAGACCCTGGGGCTGGGACTGTGTGGATTCCACAAGTTCAGACAGCGAGAGCGCGTGCCGGGTTCCGTGCGTGGGCTCCCTGGGGGGGAAGCAGGCTATGGAGGGTGTCGAAAGGGAGGAGGGGAGATGGGCAGGCGGCCCCGGAGGGGCACAGCGGGAGCCAGCACTTGGCGCTGCTACGGTGCAAACAACGAGCAGAGGCTGAACTTTCAGCTTTCCGATCATAAAGCTAAAAGGTCAACTCCCACTCCACCCCAGGCTCTGGAGGCCTGGGGCTATGTTCGTCCCCAGAGCCAAGAGCAGGGAGGTGGCCACTGCCAGGACAGGGCAAGCCTGCCTCCTCACAGCACCCGTGGTGCCCCCTGCCTCTCTCTGCCATCTCAAGCCTGGCTCAGTGACCAAGTGACAGAGGGTCAGTCCGGGCACTGAAATGGTGAATGGAGCAGAACATGCAGCTGCAAACTGGAAATGTTTTATTGCCCCATCTGAAATATTTAGATAATTTGTTTTTCTTCTAGAACTGCCGGCAGTACATTAATTTCCAGTTAGAGTAACGTGATCATCTTTGTGGCTTCCTCCCCAGGGCTGCTGAAGCTCTCGATATGATATGAATAACACTGAAGGGAATACGAGGGCAGCAATATGCAAACCTCAGGGTAAATGGCTGCTCAAGGCTGGGGCTGGCCTGGGCCACACAAGTTCACCGGTGAAGTCACCGTGGGACCTGGGACACATCACTGCTGCCTCCTGGACTCAATTTTACCGTCTGTGAAAGGAGGACCCCAATTCCCCTTCCAGGCCAGGGGCCCACGCTTCCTGCCTGCTTGCCAGAAGTCAGGCCCTGGGCTCGATAAGGAAGATCTTGTGTAAACTGCACAGCAGTGCAGCTCTTTCTGATGTGCACCTGTTGTTCAGGTGAAGAAACAGAGGCACAGAACAGGTAAGCAATTTGTCCCAGGTCGAAAAGGCAGTAAGTGGTGGAGGCGAGGTTGGTACCCAGCCTGTGTAACATCTTCCTCAGAGTAGAAGGGCATGTGGGGCGAGCGTCCACTGGGGGCGCAGTTGTGTCCTCTGATCTGACCCGGCACCAGTCTCAGAGGTCAGTTTCATTCCAGACATGTGCAAGTGATGGAGAAACTGGGTTGGGCCGTGAGCACTGGTCAACCGTGACCCTGTCAGGGTCTCACAGCCAGGTCCCAGGGGTCCAGCCAGCTGCCATCAGGGGTGGCAGAGCCTAAAGAAACAGCTGAGGCTACCCAGGACTGGTGAGGGCCATGTGTGTACATGTGTGTAAGTGTACACATCCGTGAGCCTGTTTGGGTTTGCACGTGTGTGCAGTGTGCATGTGATTGGTGCGTGTGTGTATACATGTGTGCACGGTATTGCATGTGTGGTCTGTGCCTTAAGGCTCATTAGGCTCAAGGGCATTGCACTGAGTGCCCCTCGCACACAGAGACAGCAGGTGTGGCTCTGAGGTGTGGCCCAGAAAAGGTGCCGCCCACAGGGCTTCCCAGAGAAGTGGGGTCTGCCATACCCGCTTTGCACAGAGGCAGAGGCTGCAGCTTGGAGTCGGAGAGACCGCCCCGGCCCTGGCCAGTGGCAGCAGCACACAGATGCGGGCCCAGGCTACTGAGACCCTGGAGGCACCCCAGCAGCGCTCGTGAGGAGCTCCTGCGCGCGGGGAGAAATGAAGCCAGGGCTGTGTCCGCCTCGCCCCCAGGAGCACTGCTCCGCCCCGCACCCCGGGCATGGCCCACAGGTCTGTGTTCCTGAAACCAGTGTGGGCTGAGGAGGGGCCATGTGGGGCCCCATGAGGACAAGGCTCCTTCCCTGCCTGGGAGGGTGGCTCTCAGGAAGTCTCGCTGCCTATATTTAAAGATCAGCCATTTCGTGGGCCTCCAGGAGCCTGGGGCATGGCAGGACCTTGGGGGCATCTTGAAATGACTATCTAATCCCATTGACTGGCCAGTGCTCCAGGGCCGCCTGGAGAGGTGGTCGCTGGCCATGGATGTCACCAGAGCCCTCAGTCTCTCTCTGGACTCTTAACTCCTCTTGAAATCTCTCCCATATTGGGCTCAGCTCGGGAGCAGGGGTGTTTCTCCCAGTGTTTAAGGGGATATACCTATGCCACCCGGCCCCCGCTGGGCTCCAGGGAGCAGTTAGACCCACCTTGAGGCTGACAGGGCCTCAGGTACATGGAAACAGCCCCAGTTTCCCAGCGGGAGGGCTCGAGGTCAGAATCATTCGCTCTGTCCCAGCGATGCGGATGGAGCCGACTGTTTGCTGGGCGCTGGTAGGAAGAGTACCAGTTGGACCCAGGTGGCACTGGAGCATCTGTTATGAAGGGAAGGGCTGACCTCCTGAGGGGAGCAGTGCTGCAGGGCCCGGCATGGGCTCAGGTGCTGCTGAGGCAGACCTTTGAGCCAGATCCGAGGGAGGAATTGAGTCCCTCCTGGGTGCCAGCCCTCGCGACGGGCCCTCGGAAGCCCACAGAAATAAAGGGACATGAAATCCTTAGTTCCTATCACCGACCTCCTGTTTTTCATTCCCCAGTAGCGTGTGCCTTTCCTGATGCAGGAAATCAAAGAGAGGGAGGGGCCTCTGCCGGTCAGCGTTGGTCCCGATGCCGGGCTCTGGCACACAGAGGGTGCCGCGATGCACCCCGGGTCCCCTCCCACAAGGTGCACCCCCCTCAGGTGTGGGCCTGTAGGATGCACTCAGCAATGCTCACATGGTGTAGACTCTCAAAGTGGACGTGCTGGGTAAGCTCTGGTGGATTCGACCAGATCGTTCCCAGAGACTTTGTACCAAACGCCCTGATGCGAGTGTGCCCGTTTCTTACGACCCCTCGTGGCTGAGTGTTACTGGCAGCTTGTCTTTGCCACGCCATGAACACACGTGTTGTCACTGCTGCCATGGTTTTCATTGCCTTAACGGTGGTGGAGCTGAGCGCACGCACATTGGCTGGTGGACATTCCCCCGTGTCTGCGCCCTGCCCGTTTCTGTCCTCCGGTGATCACCTTCCACGGCCAGGGCCTCCCTGAAGTGGCTCCGTCCTGCAGCTGATAGAAGGGCATGGGGCTGGCTCAGGCTGAGGCGGTCACACTCCTGGCCTCTGGCTTGCCAGGTGAGGGGACTTGGCCCCACACGGAGAAAGGCCTGGTCAGCCTCAACCCCATCTGACCCCTGTTGCTGCCTCTAAATGATGCACAGGAAGAACTGGGCCCCAGGATGAAGGAAATGGAAGGAATGTCAGAATGTGGTTCTGCTAATTCACGAG